GCGGCTGTGTATACTGCTTGAAAAAATCCTTCCAAATGCCCACGACGCGTTATCTCTTTAATAAGTACGGGTGACAAACGTTTAAGTCGTAATTTTTTGTGAACACATAAAAAGTTTATATCTACCATTGGTAATTCCCTGTTGATTTTTTTTAACGAAATGAATAAAAAAAAACGAGACGAATTAATCATAATTACTTATCATAAACTCTCATTCGAATCGGTACAGCACTGATAAAACCAACCAATTTACCACTTTTCGTTACACGAACTCCCACATGGAATTTTTGAAGCCAACCGGGCGCACATAGAGCCCTGAAAAGATCAAAATACATTAAAAAAATAGAATTTTTTCTCTATTGTATGTAAATTACCATCGTAAAAATGGCATGGAATACTCCAATCGAAAATCATTACCATCATCTTCGATATAATTTTCGCTCAAGAACGTATACAATTCCTGTAACTAGAAAAAATGACATGTCATTTATTAAATCGCAACAAAAATTCTCAATATACTTGTTCATCAACATGAATATCAATATCATTCCAAGAAAAACCATCGGGTAATTTATATGGTTCTTGTCGTAAGTCATCTATTGATTTATTTGATTCGATAGGTCCAATATTACTTGTATTAATTTTTGTACCAATCGTCGGTACGGGTTGTGTTTGCCAAAATTTCCATTCTTGTCTTGATGCTGCCTTTTCGTCATATTTCGGTGCATATACATTATTGCTAGCAGCAGCTTGTTCGGCAAGTGTCATTTGTTTCATTAAATTTCGCATTGATTTATCTGTAAGTTTTTGCTAAAAAGAGAAATTTTTATAGATTGCTTTCAACATGAAAGAATATTTTCTATTCACATTGTTGTTCTCAGCACGTGTGCTATTTCCATCGACGACCTCGGTTGCGGCGGCGACGACAGCAGCAGCATCAGCTGGTTTACTCTTTGATTTTTGGCTAAACGACTTCGATGTCGTTGATGCACCAGCAGTAGAACTGTCTCCTTCATCATTTTGATCTTCGTTTCGATTTTGATCGGTCATGATTACAGATCTATAAATGAATGAGCGAGAGAAAGTGAATTGACCTTTGATCGTGATTACAAGAAAAGTAGAGATAAAACAAAGTTTGATGATCTATTTAGTCTTAGTCTTAGTTCCTTCTGTGCATTTGCGCACATTGGGCAGCAAGTTTCCTCCGATTTAGTTTGTTGGTTTTCACTTGCTGTTTCTTTAGCAGTTTCTATTTTTTACAAAGCAGAGTTGCTAGCCCGGCGCTTAACCCTCCTCCTTTCACATCCGGGCTTGGGACCGGCAACGGCGGAGTTATGATCTATTTTGCTTAGTATAAAATCTGGCTGTAATCAAAAACGAATGTCGAAAAGTTGTCTTTTGCTATATAAATTTAAAGATAATACTAATATAATTGTGATAATTGAATTTATCGTAGGATTTTGATGCTGTTCCTGCCGTTTCGACATCTGTTAATGAGAAGAAGAACAGATGATATTTGAAAAAGAAAAAACAAACAACAACTTTCTCTATTCATTACCAGCATAAAGTTTGTTCAATGCATGCACGAGTGAATCTTTAGCAAGACGATGATTAAATAAATATTCTGTCGCTTGTCGTAATAGTGTATGTTCAC